CGATGCCAGAGACGACTGGGGCTAGATGGGTGAGCTGGGTGGTGAGGGGATTTGGGGACAGTGTGGCTCTTGTGGGCTGGGTCTGAACCCTGCAGGGTTCTCTGTGCGGGAATTGCCGTGGCGAGATCATCACACAGCCCAGACCTTTCTGCTTGGCCCTTAACCACTTCTGTCAGCCAGTTTAGCATGCACCTGGTATTTAACGGAACCATCTTGAAGCAAACGGTTCCTCCAGTCATCTCCTCTCATAATAAACCCCTGAAGCTTTGAGGCCCTCGGGCTCTGAGGTGGTAGACGCTGTGCTCTGTCAGTCCTGTTGCCCTACAGCCTGCCCCTCTGCCCACAGCCAAAGGACCAATTTTCTGTAGGGATTTTTAGTCTTTGGCTCCCGGGAATGTGGTTTTAAATGAGCTCATGCTTTGTAGCATGAAAGGTTTTGTCTGGATTTTCTTTGACAAATACAAGAATAACTAATCGAGGTCTAAAAATGAAAATGGCCCTCCAGACACTGCCTTCCCCATGTTCAACACAGAGTGACGCTGCTCAACCCAGGTGCAGACCAAAGAGTGGATTTCTGAGCAGCTTCGGCAGGAGGGCTCCTGAAACTGCCGTGGGACTGATGTCATTGGCCGCCAAGCTCTCTCCAACGTGCTGATAAAACGTTATAATAACCAAGGGAAGTGGACCCTGAGGGGCAGAACAGATGCTTCTGGACCCCGACCCGACTTCGCCTTTCTCCTCCCTGGATAGAAGGCTTCTGTCAACTCACTCCTGTCTCCTCTTGTCTGTTTCCAGGACTCCTCCTCCTCGGCCGGATCCATCCCAGCGGCTGAACAGCAGGGCACAGCTCCCAAAGTCCAGCTGCCCCTCAACGTGTGAGCTGCTGTTTACATTTTGGGGTCGCTTGCCTTCAGCATCTCCCTCCCACCCCTGCTAGCATGTGAATGTATGGTTTCTACAGGGTTGTCTCATTTGTTACTAGTAGGTCAGTTTAGTTATATGCATCTAATAATACTGCTGACAGGAGAGTATAGCAAAGTCTAGCACATCTTTTTAATGTCATTGTCTCTAGGACATTTATTCTAAATGGTGGGCAGGGGGGGGGATCAAATATTTGATGACAAAGGCACTGGCCATTCAGGAAGTACCGGCCATAGCACAGAGAAGACTCCATAGGCCCCTGAGAAGGTCTGGGGTATGGGCCTTGGAGGTTGGGGGATGCCAGGGCAGTGAGTGGTCGTGGGAGCTTCAAGGTGGCTAGTAGCAACTGCTCAGAAGTAACTTAGTAGTTTAACAGCCATAACTGCCATTCCCGTCATAGTAGCTGAGTATCATAGCCAAATATAACCATATGAATCATAGCTAGAAGTGAGATGCTTATCTTGTTTAGAAAATCTGCTCTCGTTAAATTATAGTTCTTAAAAGATGCATGCAGTTTTAAAATTCCTCACTTAGTGTTCTGAAGAATTAGACTGACTTTTACTCTTATTTGGCGATGAGTCAGTTACTTGAATGAATGTTTTAAAGTGGAGAATATGAATTCGGCAAACAATGTAGTGAGGTAGAAAGTTCCATAGATCCGAAGCAGGTCAGAGGGACACATAAAACCTGTGTTGTTGCAGAACAGAATGTATTTCAAGCAAAAAAAATGCCTTTTGAAAAAGCAACTTGCCGAGCTCCAAAAGGTTTCCTAGAAGTAGCGTGAATATCCTGGTACATGCTCACCTACCCTCTCTAAGCCCAGTGGAAACGTTTGCCTTTATCTGGACACAGATAAGAAAGCCCCAAACATCCCTTTGTCTGCCCACTCTGCCATGATTAGGTTATTAACACAACCAACTAAACAAAAGGAAATTGAGACTTAACCTATATTTAATATGTCTTCCTGAGAAGAACATAGATTAGTAGGCTACCTTCTGGATGTCTTTAGACAGTAGATACTGTCATCTGGCTGGGTCTCCTGGGTAAGCTCCAATGGCTTCACCTCAGACCTGGGGGCTGAGGAGGAAGGATGAGGAAGGATGGAGGTGACGGTCTTGCTCTTCTTGAAGAACTGGATGCAGGACCCTTTCCCTAAGGAAGTAGATATGCCCCACAGGAGGCCCTTGGGCCCTAATGTACTTCCCCAAATGAGAGGCAGGACCCAGTGAGCTCTTCACAGATAAGGCCCCAGTGTTTCTTTTTGAGGTCCCCCCACCCCCCGACTAGATGAATGCCTGACACATGAGTTCTCAATAAATTTTCAGTGCGAGCCACTGCCTTCCCTTTCTTGGGTTCCCAGAGCCCCCAGCTCTTACACATCAGGTCAGCCACCCAAGAAGGCTGCTCTTTGAGACCCAAAAGATAACACAGTTCTAAGAATATCACTCCCCAAGAGTTGTGAATTCATTCTGAAGGCCTCAATCATGCACTGAACTCCCATGTCAGGCTTTTTAAGTTGGTGTAGACTACAGAGGGACCTCGTTCTCTCGCCACCCCCACCCCACTCTGCCATAGGGGCCCCCATCTCTTTGCTCCCTCCTCTGTCTCACCTCCAGAGCTGTCCCTGTTTGGGTTGAGATTTTCATTTGGGTAACGGAAGAGAGACTTCCATGTCAGATAATGCTCTTCAAAGGATGATAAACATCTTAGCGGGAATGTGTTCACTGGTCACAGTGGTCATCTGAGCAACAGACGAATCATGGCCAGCATGACTGTGATTGACCGTTGTAAGTTAAATGTGTGCTTTCAGTGGCTATTTATACACACGGAACAAGGACCATGTCAGGTGATATCACATATGTTACAGCACTATGCATGATCCATTTTGAGAACATGACCTTTGAAATCACATTGTTCATTTTATTCCTAGGGAGGAAAAGATCAGATTTACCTTATCGGTTTATTGAGTAGGGGAAGAGCCTGACCACTCACCTACTCTCTTTAGCACCAAGAAATTAGCCGTCCCATGCATACTGGCGACAAGCGTCTAGGGTAGGAGACTGGTTTCTCTTTATCTGACTGTTCTTCCCCAAACAGTACTGATAGTCATGTAGTCTGAAATTGAGCGCAAGAAGTGCTGCCTTCACAAAAAATAACGGCAGCCCTGAGTGTGCTGCCGTGAGCCAGGGAGTCTGCAAATGCTTGGCCTTGGGACTCCAGGGAATACCAACTGGCTAAGCTGAAGGTCAGTGATGGAATAAGTTCAAGAGGCCCGCATTCTGTAATCCTCAGTAGCCCGTGGGTTTGCCCTCTACAGATCAAGTCATGTGCCTTGAAATGTGAGCCCACATGATTAAAAGGCCTGATCTCTCAGGTGGGCCATGGGTCGCAGGATGTTCTTGTTCCCTTCTTCCAGCATATAAAAGGTTTCCATGGGCACCGGTTTCCTAAGGCTTTGGTTGCCCCGAAACGCAAGAAGGGGTCTCGGTTTGCCCACGCAGTGGAGGCGGCGGATGCTCATCTTTTTCCACATTGACACACTCAGGCCTATGGGAGCCGACACCCTCCCTTCTCACTTCCTCAGCTTTCGGAGGCCACCCAAAGTCCACTCTCTGGCCCCTGGGCTTGTCTGCCCTTCATCTGCTTGACCTGCCATACTTCCTGGGGGCAGAAATGAGTGTCTGGTCCTGCAGGCCATATTTCGGGTCAGAAGTAGTCCATCCGGACACTGTAAAGGTTGGTAGGCCGCCACTCAGGCTGAATTCTCACCTCCACTTTTCCTTGGGCCTCTGAGAGCCAGACGAGGGGAGCGAAGGACCAGATAGGGCAGGAAGAGAAAGTAACCCTCCTCTTGACCCCACCTACATTTCTCCTGAGGGTCAAGAGGTCACCAAGCCACCTCCTAATGAGTACATAGCCCCCATGTTCTGTGATGTTGGGAAAGGGACTGGTGACCTGACTGTGCCCCACACAGGAAATGGGTCTCTTTCACCACAGATCTGTAACACAGAGGCTGGCTCTGCACTTCAGTGTGTGATGGACTAGATCAGTGTGAGCTCAGTACATCAGGACCGAGTAACATAAGCCCCTGCTGAGGCCAGGGACATGGGCCTAGAGGGGCGAGGCCACCATCCAGCCTTCTCTGACAGCCCCCCGCCTCAAGGTCAGCTCTTTCAGGGTCACAGGTGCCTGCCCTCCAGCAGCCGTGTTAGGCTGAGCACCTTCAGGGAGAGAGCAGAACAAGGCCCCAGGCAGGTGGGGAGTGAGGAGGGATGCATGGTGGCAAGAGCAGAAAAATTAACTGAGCAGAGGAGAGCCCAGTGGGCAGAGGTTGGAGACTTGTAAAGGTGCAAGCAGGGCCGGCTGCAGAGGACAGAAAGCCAGCCCCGAGCCCTGCAGGTGGGGGCAGGTCCTCAGCAGCACCAATGTTGTCTAAATTGGGTTTCTTGGAAGCAGACATGAGGCTGAGGTTTGTAGGGACCGCCGTCAGGAACCACACCCGTGAGGGAGGGAGTTGTTGAAGAGAAGCCCGCAGATCCCCGATCCCCGGGGAGCTCTGGAGCCTGGATGGCACTTCAGTTTCCTCAACTGGAGAGCCCTTGGGAGGGACAGAGTCTAGTGAATCAGTGCCCTGCAGAGAACTTCCCACTGAGGGGCGCCGTGGCTGGCCATCAGGAGCCCATGGCCCACTCTGAGGGACAGCACTGCAGCCCTTGAGCAGGGACCTGGGCCAGCACAAAGGAAGGTCTTCAACTTCAGAACAGCAGAAATCCCTGGAGGGCTGTTGAAACATAGATTGCCAGCTTTTACCCCATTAGCCCTGGGGTGAGGCTCCAGAATGTGCATCTCTAACAAGTTTCCAGGAGATGCTAATGCTGCCGGTGCAGGACTGCCTGTTGGGGGGTGGGGGGGGTCTCTGCACTGTGGCCCCCATAGGCAAGTTTCCCAGGAGCTGGCCTCATAGCCTCACCGTCCCTGTTCCTTCCTTCCCTGGGCTCCCGCCAATGTGTTCTTCCTAGGAGAACCTTGTCTGAACTAGGGCCGGCTGCTGGTGGGTTCCTGGGCAGTCAGGACCAACAGAACAACTGGGTGAGGAGCCGGCCACACAGCAGTTCCCCAAACGCTCCTCTATTCTCTCCCTCTGAGCATCCGCACTCAGCCCCATCTCAGCACCTCGTCGACTCACAGCTTCCCCAGCTCAGCTGCCACCTCCATCAGAGGACTTACCTGGCCTGCTGAGCATGGTCAGTGCCCCTCCCACGACACCTATGCCATCGCTCTCCCCACCCCCCGGGATGGGTGCTCCTTAGGCAGGCTCCTCCACCACCCGGCTGCACCAGGCTGTCATTCGGTCGACATCTATTGAATTGAACAATCGTTGAGTGGGCACACATCTTGCTAATTTGAGCTGGTGTGGCCCTGGCAACCAGAACAGGAGCGGAACTCTTCACAGGAGGAGTTGAAAATAATCTTTTACGAGAAACACAAGCAAGCCATCAAATAGAGGAGAAAGGGTGTGAAATTCACAAAGGCACTAAAATACTTTAATTCTCTCCTTGATTAGAATAGAAGGGAAATCTGTAGACAATTAACAGCAAATGAAGAGCTTGCTGTAGAGATGAGCAAGTGATGGGGTGAGTGACTGCGGTACTCGGAGATGGCCAGCAGGCTGCTGGTAACACAGACAGCGCATGAGCCTAGCCGAGTGGTCACAGCTAGTGTGTCCAGTGTGTGCATGTCTGCCCGAGGGTGCCAGAGGGGGCGTGGAGCCTGATGTTCCACAAACCCGACTCACGTGTGCCGGGCTGTTGCTGACCAGAGGAGGCGGCACCTTTTTCTAACTGGCACGAAAGCCCCATGTGGGCTACAGGGCAGTGGGGAAGAAGGCTCTCTGAACCAAATTCTCCTACTATTGCCTTAAATAAGGGATTTTTAGTGCCAGCCTTTGTGTGTG